AGAAAGGGTTAAGGGGCAAGCAATCTCCACTTAGAGGATTTCCAAGTGGATTTTGGGGTGCATTATGCTCTGTTATTGACTATTGGGACTATCTCTGCCCCTTGGAGTAAGAGCCTACTCCACGAGAGCGCAAGCATTGACTTTGGCTGCGCTTCACGACATACTGCCTACGGACATATATTGGGCAGCCACCTGGAGATCTTTACATACTTTCTCTTCCCATTACGCCTTGGTGCGAGACTCTGTGACAGATGCCTTTTTCAGTGCAGCTGTTCTCTGTTCCCGTAAGTCTTCCTCTCACTCTCCTCTTAATTAAGTACTCCTTGTCAATTGCCTTCAGTAGAATACAAGAGGGAGCATCACTCGAAGAAGAGGAGGTTACTTACCTGTAACTGGAGGTTCTTCGAGATGTGTGGTCCCTATCTGTATTCCACTTCTCCTTCCCCTGGGGACTTCTTGGATTGTGGTGGAGAAGGAACTGATGACACAGTCTGTCTTCCCCACCCTTTATCACCTTGGACAAAAGCAGGAGGCGAAGCAAGGGCGCATGTGTGGATGAATGCACACTATTACTTTCAAAATCTCCAGCTCCAGACACATGGCATATGCGTATACCCTCAGTGATATACAGATAGGAACTATACATCTCAAAGAACCTCCTCTTCCCTCCACCTTGCCCCCACATACCATATCCATATAGGTTTCAATCCTTGTCATACTGGCTTCCTTGGAACTTGCAGACTCTGCTCAGAAATTCTTATCAATTGAGTAAGTTAACTCCATCTCATATCAAGGCACAGTCTGCTACAGCTCAAGCAGTCTCCTTGGGCTTTTTAAGAGGCATCTCTATATTTGAAATCTGAAGAGCTGCTTATTGGAGCTCCATACATGTTTGCAAGCCATTATTCTCTAGTGTCAGTCTCTATTTCCGATACACAGTTTGGCAGGAAAGTCTTACAGTACTTATTTAAATAGGTAAGTGGGGAAGTGGGATACCGGGAGGAAGCACGAGCAGGAGAGCGCAAGAGGGGAGGGCTCCTGCCTCATACTGAGAAAGCGGGACGATCAGCGAGTGCCTATACACAAATGCAAGAAGCCTGGGAAGCAAGCAGGGAGAACTGAAAGTCCTGGTACAGTCAAGGAATTATGATGTGTGTGGCATAACAGAGACTTGGTGGGATATCTCACATGACTGGTGTACTGTCATGGATGGATATAAACTATTCAGGAAGGACAGGCAGGGCAGAAAAGGTGGGGGAGTTGCATTATATGTAAGAGAGCAGTATGGCTGCTCAGAGCTGTAGTAAGAAACTTCAGAAAAACCTAAGAGTCTCTGGATTAAGTTTAGAAGTGTGAGCAACAAGGGTGATGTCATGGTGGGAGTCTTCTATAGACCACCGGACCAGGGGGGTGAGGTGGACGAGGTTTTCTTCTGGCAACTAACTGAAGTTACTAGATCGCAGGCCCTGTTTCTCATGGGAGACTTCAATCACCCAAGTATCTGCTGGGAGAGCAATACAGCAGTGCACAGACAATCCAGGAAGTTTTTGGAAAGTGTAGGGGACAATTTCCTGGTGCAAGTGCTGGAGGAAGCAGGTGGGGCAGAGCTCTTCTTGACCTGCTGCTCACAAACCGGGAAGAATTAGTAGGGAAGCAAAAGTGGATGGGAACCTGGGAGGCAGTGACCATGAGGTGGTGAGTTCAGGATCCTGACACAAGGAAGAAAGGAGAGCAACAGAATACGGACCCTGGACTTCAGAAAAGCAGACTTTGACTCCCTGAGGGAATTTATGGGCAGGATCCCCTGGGAGAATAACATGAAGGGAAAAAGAGTCCAGGAGAGCTGGCTGTATTTTAAAGAATCCTTATTGAGGTTACAGGGACAAACCATCCCGATGTGTAGAAAGAATAGTAAATATGGCAGGCGACCAGCTTGGCTTAACAGTGAAATCCTTGCTGATCTTAAACACAAAAAAGAAGCTTACAAGAAGTGGAAGATTGGACAAATGACCAGGGAGGAGTATAAAAATATTGCTCAGGCATGCAGGAGTGAAATCAGGAAGGCCAAATCACACCTGGAATTGCAGCTAGCAAGAGATGTTAAGAGTAACAAGAAGGGTTTCTATAGGTATGTGAGCAACAAGAAGAAAGTCAAGGAAAGTGTGGGCCCCTTACTGAATGAGGGAGGCAACCTAGTGACAGAGGATGTGGAAAAAGCTAATGTACTCAATGATTTTTTTTGCCTCTGTCTTCACAAACCAGGTCAGCTCCCAGACTACTGCACTGGGCATCACAGCATGGGGAGGAGGTGACCAGCCCTCTGTGGAGAAAGAAGTGGTTTGGGACTATTTAGAAAAGCTGGACAAGCACGAGTCCATGGGGCCGGATGCGCTGCATCCGAGAGTGCTAAAGGAGTTGGCGGATGTGATTGCAGAGCCATTGGCCATTATCTTTGAAAACTCATGGCGATCGGGGGAGGTCCCGGACGACTGGAAAAAGGCTAATGTAGTGCCCACCTTTAAAAAGGGAAAGGAGGAGGATCCGGGGAACTATGGGCCAGTCAGCCTCACCTCAGTCCCTGGAAAAATCATGGAGCAGGTCCTCAAGGAATCAATTCTGAAGCACTTAGAGGAGAGGAAAGTGATCAGAAACAGTCAGCATGGATTCACCAAGGGCAAGTCATGCCTGACTAATCTAATTGCCTTCTATGACGAGATAACTGGCTTTGTGGATGAGGGGAAAACAGTGGACATGTTATTCCTTGATTTTAGCAAAGCTTTTGACACAGTCTCCCACAGTATTCTTGCCAGCAAGTTAAAGAAGTATGGGCTGGATGAATGGACTCTAATATGGATAGAAAGCTGGCTAGATTGTCAGGCTCAACGGGTAGTCATCAATGGCTCGATGTCTAGTTGGCAGCCGGTATCAAGCAGAGTACCTCAGGGGTCGGTCCTGGGGCCGGTTTTGTTCAATATCTTCATTAATGATCTGGAGGATGGCGTGGACTGCACCCTCAGCAAGTTTGCAGATGACACTCAACTGGGAGAAGAGGTAGATACGCTGGAGGGTAGGGATAGGATACAGGGGGCCCTAGACAAATTGGAGGATTGGGCCAAAAGAAATCTGATGAGGTTCAACAAGGACAAGTGCAGAATCCTGCACTTAGGACAGAAGACTCCCATGCACTACTGCAGGCTGCGGACCATTCTGCAGAAAGGGACCTGGGGCTTACAGTGGGCGAGAAGCTGGATATGAGTCAACAGTGTGCCCTTGTTGCCAAGAAGGCTAATGGCATTTTGGGCTGTATAAGTAGGACATGATCGTTCCCCTCTATTTGACATTGGTGAGGCTTCATCTGGAGTACTGTGTCCAGTTTTGGGCCCCACACTACAAGAAGGATGTGGAAAAATTGGAGAGTCCAGCGGAGGGCAACAAAAATGATTCGGGGACTGGAACACATGACTTATGAGGAGAGGCTGAGGGAACTGGGATTGTTAGTCTGCGGAAGGAAGAATGAGGGGAATTTGATAGCTGCTTTCAACTACCTGAAAGGGGGTTCCAAAGAGGATGGCTCTAGACTGTTCTCAGTGGTAGCAGATGACCGAACAAGGAGTAAGGGTCTCAAGTTGTAGTGGGGGAGGTTTAGGTTGGATATTAGGGAAAACTTTTTCACTAGAAGGATGGTGAAGCACTGGAATGCATTACCTGGGGAGGTGGTGGAATCTCCTTCCTTAAAGGTTTTTAAGGTCAGGCTTGACAAAGCCCTGGCTGGGATGATTTAGTTGGGGGTTGGTCTTGCTTTGAGCAGGGGGTTGGACTAGATGACCTCCTGAGGTCCCTTCCAACCCTGATATTCTATGATTTTATGACTCCTAGCACCCAGCACCTTAGAGAGAGAGAGAGAAGAGAGAACTGTTTGGTGGTTGCCTTTAATGGGATCTATGCGGATAAATACTTAAAGAAAAATAATTATTTACCTTATAGTAACTGTGGTTCTTCAAGATGTTTTCTCCATACAGATCCTATGATCTGCTCCCCTTCTCTGCTAATCTTTATTCCTTTTAGCATTGGGGATTCTGTATTGGTGGAGGAACTGAATAGCAGTTAGGACTGCCCTGCTCTTTGCACCCTCAAGGGAAGGGCTTAAGGACATACCGCTAGTCAAAAAGAATCCAATCTCATGTGCATGCACATACAGAGTGGTATCCATGTGAATAAAACATTTTTGAAGAACCAGAATCACTGTAAGGTAAATAACCATTTTTATTAGTTTTGGAAGTGGCTACATGTATTTACAAAAATTGATAGCTTTGTAAAGTAGTAACTTATAAAATTCCTGGTATTTCATCCAGTTAGAATGTGTTCAAATTATATATCTGATGTTCTTGTCATTTGAATACACCTGTTTAATGAGCCTTCAAAAGACTGTTTTAATTTAATTTCACTTGAAAACATATTTAATACAGAATCCCAGATCCTGCAAATGTTCCCTCTGGATGGATCTTTTGTACCCATGTGGAACAAGTTGCAGCATCAGGGCCAGAATCAGCGCAAAAATGCTTTCACCTTTAGAGCACTTAAAATGTTTAGAATAATCAATAAGGCCCTGATCATCCAAACACTTTTGTACCTGCTTGAGAAGATATTTCTCACATGTAACTTATGGTGGACCACTTTGTACAAGAAATCCTATCACAGACTAATCTCCTTTACCAACACCTCATTTCCCAAGTACTGAGTCCTCAAAGCCTTTTGTTTTGTGAATGACCTGGAAGATCCCTGTGGACAATGGATAATCGAAAGACAATCGCTTAAGAGCTACTACCCTGGACTGTAGTTTGGTTTTATTTTAAATGTACAAAAATGTGGTGGTGTGTTTTTTTTTTCCGCTTTCATCCATTAAAATGTTCTCAAAGTGCAGAAATGTGTCAGAATATATGATGTATCAATGTGTTACATCTCTGAAGATTCTGACATGGAAATTTTTTCTTTTTTCTCAGCAAATTTCACAGGTCATGCAGAGAAGGTGGGCATTGAAAACTTCGAACTCTTGAAAGTTCTTGGAACAGGAGGTAAGACTTTTTTCTTTTAAGGTGACCTTTGGAAGTAATGTTCTTTAGTGCAGTTCTGTTTTCTAGCTCAGTTTTTGGAACAAATTATCTACAGAGTAATTGGAACAAATTATCTAGGCAGATTTGTGCTATAAAATAAGCAAAAGACAAGCTGGGATATGTAAAGAACAAATATGCACCATTCTATCATATCAAATTTTTTAACATGAAGCATCCTTTTGAAAAGATGGGCAAATAGAACAACATTTACTCAGTTGACAGTATAATAAAACATTTAAAATCTGGTACTAAGTTATAAGTCATACGCTTGTGTCAAGGTTCCTCCCCCACTCTGAACTCTAGGGTACAGATGTGGGGACCTGCATGAAAAAACTCCTAAGCTTATCTTTACCAGCTTAGGTCAAAACTTCCCCAAGGTACAAAATATTCCACCCGTTGTCCTTGGACCGGCCGCTACCACCACCAAACTAATACTGGTTACTGGGGAAGAGCTGTTTGGACGCGTTCTTCCCCCCAAAATACTTCCCAAAACCTTGCACCCCACTTCCTGGACAAGGTTTGGTAAAAAGCCTCACCAATTTGCCTAGGTGACTACAGACCCAGGCCCTTGGATCTTAAGAACAATGAACAATCCTCCCAACACTTGCACCCCCCCTTTCCTGGGAAATGTTGGAATAAAAGCCTCACCAATTTGCATAGGTGACCACAGACCCAAACCCTTGGATCTGAGAACAATGAAAAAGCATTCAGTTTTCTTACAAGACGACTTTTAATAAAAATAGAAGTAAATAGAAATAAAGAAATCCCCCCTGTAAAATCAGGATGGTAGATATCTTACAGGGTAATTAGATTCAAAAACATAGAGAACCCCTCTAGGCAAAACCTTAAGTTACAAAAAAGATACACAGACAGAAATAGTTATTCTATTCAGCACAATTCTTTTCTCAGCCATTTAAAGAAATCATAATCTAACACATACCTAGCTAGATTACTTACTAAAAGTTCTAAGACTCCATTCCTGGTCTATCCCCGGTAAAGACCAGCATATAGACAGACACAGACCCTTTGTTTCTCTCCCTCCTCCCAGCTTTTGAAAGTATCTTGTCTCCTCATTGGTCATTTTGGTCAGGTGCCAGCGAGGTTACCTTTAGCTTCTTAACCCTTTACAGGTGAGAGGAGCTTTCCCCCTGGCCAGGAGGGATTTCAAAGGGGTTTACCCTTCCCTTTATATTTATGACAGCTTGAAGTTTTCATTAAATTCTTCAGACCACTACAGTTGATGAAGATCAGTTTGTGGAAAAATAGGAAAGTCTGCATCTTCATCAATCAGAGTCTTCATTCTTTTTAACTACATTTTTTCAGAGAAGTATCATTGGTGGCTATGTCTGTTTTGTCATGTAAGCAGAATACTATTACTTTTTAAGAAGATAAATGAAAGCACTCAGTACTGGATTTTGGGTTTTATTATGGTGGGAGGAGTTTTGTGTGTGTGCACGCATGCACTCTTTTAAGAACATTTAGAGCTAGAGAAAGATGGTGGGTTGATATTTCAGGAAACAAGATTCCCTCTCTGTCCATAGAAAATGTACAGCAAGAGTAACAACAGTATATGCTTCCTCTCGCTGTTTTTGCCACTGTTCTTCAACACTAACTTGGAGGAACAAGGGTTGCAGTGGTAAGAAGGGATTTCATATCTGTGGCCGTTCAGTGACTGTACTCTGTGGGATTGCCAAAGAGTTCCAATTGTGAGAATAGATTTTAATGTGGTCAGCGCTTAAACTGAGATCTCGGTGATCTCAGCAGTTAACTGAGATCACCAGTTCCTTTTACATAAACCATCAAATAATCCAGAGTAGGATAGTGAGGACTTGTGGTCACTACCAAATTTGAACTAATTAGGAGGTGATGCCAGATGGAATTTTGCCATCAGTCAAAGCATTTGCCAAATTGCTTATTCTCCTCAGAGAAATCAAAATGTCCTACATCCCTATTTATGTCAAAATCAGAGGAGGAAGTCTAAATGGTAGAAAAATAAATTGGGGCAATGCCTTGTGAAGAAGCAGGGAAAGATCTCATGATGCTCCCCTCCCACAGGTTGGGGGAAACACCTTGCATACCAAACATCTCAGAGCAGGTGGAAGAACATTCTCCAGAGAAAATTAACAATCCTAGTATCCATGAAGAGTATGGACACATGTCAGAGGGTACCCTCCCTCGTTCCACTCATCTTGCTGTGGAGTTTCTGTAGCTAGATTTTCAAAGTTTCTAAGAAAAAGGGCCGGGGGGGGAGGAATCAGTAAGATCTAAGCAGGAGTTAGCTGTCTTCTTTTCCAGTGAAGATGGAGCCTTAGGAGGCTGTGATGCACAAATTTTAGATTTTAAGTTAGATGGAACTAGTGTAATCATCTAGTGTCTGACCTGAATAAAACCGGTCATAGGACTTCCCTGAATTATTTCCTGTTTGAACTAAAGCATATCTTTTCTAAAAGTATCCAACCTTCATTTTAAAATTGCTAGTGATGGAGAATCCTTGACAATCCTTGGTAAATTGTTCCAGTGGCTAATTACCTGCATTCTTAAAAATTTGTCCCTGATTCCTACTCTGAATTTGTCAAGCTTTGAAGTCCAAACGTTGGATCTTGTTATATGTTTGCCTGCTAGATTGAAGAGCCCTCTCTTATCACATTTCTTTTCCCATGTAGGTACTTTAAAAACTGTGATGAAGTCACAGTTAACCTTCCCTTTGTTAAACTAAGCAGATTGAGCTCCTTATGTCTATTCCTATAAGGCAGGGGTTCCCAAACTTTTTCTCCTGAGGCTCACCTGTGCAATTCTAATAGGCATTATGGCCCACTATTAACACTTCTTGAGGAAAAATATTAATTTTGTTACATACATATAAACTATAACACTGTAAATAAACAATGTACATGTTTACTTTTCATTTTAATGTAAATGATTGTAATTATAGAAATCCCTAGCAATATGCAGTCAAAGAAATGCTTCAAGATCTTTGAAACCAAACAGTTTTAGTAAAACTACACTTTAAAAAAATGTGTTCAAAATGTGTTCAAACAGGGAAAACACAATTTGTATAAAACTGAACATACGCAATGCAACAAAGTTAACAAAATTGTTAAGAAAAAGTTATTTGATTTTAAAACAAAATAGTTGTCCAACTTTGAACACTATATTGTTTTCAGTTTTTAGTGTAAAATCTGAATTTCTGTGCTGTGTAAGTAAAGACCCACCCCTATTCTCTACTAATTAGAAAAGAGTCAAATACTTTATATTTTTATTTACAATAACTTACAGACCAGGAGTCTTCTCAATGGGATGGATGTGCCTGCTTCTCCTTGCACTGGTTTTCCAGCCTGTGACATCTGTTGGAGAGGCTCAACTTGATCTCATTTTCAATTTTCAGCCTTTCAGCCAGCTCAGGGTGCAGGCAGGAGGTAGTTAGAAGCTGTGTCCCTGGGGGAGTATAACTCAGGGTGCAGGAAGAGGGGGTGGCTACAGGCTGTGTTAAGGCAGGGTGGTAGCTCAAAGTGCAGGCAGGGACTGTGTCTGAAGGAGTGCTGCTGCTGCTATGGGGCCCGGCCTTGAACTTGTTCCCTCATTGACACAGTGGGGGCAGCTCTACTCCTTGTGGCTGTGTGCGTGCCGTGCTGTCCTGCACATTCACTGTGACTGTGGACACTGAGGACTACACTTACTTGAGCCTGGAGGGTGCGGCAGCCATTATTCAGCCACATGGGGAAGCTGATCTGGATGCACAAAGCACCTGGTGTTGTTGTGCCCTTCCCACCCCACACCCCACCCCCGGGGAGCTCGAGGGTGGGAGGGTGAGAGTTGACGCCAGATGCTCTGTGCGTCCAGGTCAGTTTCCACATTAGGGCTGTGCTGTGAGGCGTCCAAAGCTGTTCTGCCACTCTCCCCTTACCCAACCCACATGGGGAAACTGACCTGGACTCTCAGAGCACCTGGTATCACTACTTGCCCCCACCCCAAAATGCCACCCATGATGGCGGACCACCCAGGACTGTGTCACAGCCTACCTTTGGGCCACGGCCCACAGTTTGGGAACCCTTGCCTATAAGGCATGCTTTCTCATCCTGTAATCTTTCTCGTGGCTCCACTCTGAACCGTCTTTAATTTATCAACATCCTTCTTGAATTGTGGACACCAGAACTGGACATAATATTCCAGTAGCTGTCAAACCAGTGAAAAAATCAGAGGTAATATCTCCTCCCTACTGGTACTCAAATTTCCCCTGTTTATGCATCCAAGGACCACAAGGATCACTAGTCCTTTTTGCTAGTGTCATGCTAGCCACCATAACCTCAGAGTCATTGTTTCCCAGGATAGAGTCCCCTACTCTGTAAGTATGGCCTACATTCTTTGTTAAATGTAGGGCTATTACATTCAGCAATATTAAACTGCAGTGTATCTGTGACCTGTCCTCCTCATTATTTGACTCCCATAGTCTTTTGTTATATGCAAACTTTATCAGTTATGATTTAAAATATTTTTTCCAGGTCACTGGTAAAAATGTTAAATCGTGTTGGGCCAAGAATGAATCCCTGCAAAGGCACCACTAGAAATATGCCCGCTTGATGATCATTCCCTGTTTCAGTTATAGTTTGAGATCTTTCAGTTGACCAGAGTTTAAGCCGTTTAATATGTACCATGTTGATTTTGTATCATTTGAATGTTTTATATTGTTTTGTATCTTAATCAAAATGTTGTACAGCACCAAATCAAATGCCTTATAAAAGTCTAAGTATATTATATCAACACTACTACCTTTATCAACCAAACTTGTAACATAATAAAAATATTATTATTTTGACTAGATCTGTTTTCCATAAACCCATTTTGATTGGCATATCATATTACTCTCCTTTAATTCTTTATGAATCAAGTCCTGTATCAGCCACTCTGTTATTTTGCCTGGGATCAGTGTCATGCTGACAGGCCTATAATTACCTGGGTCATCC